CATCTCTGTCTTGATATTTTATCTTGAAAGAGACTATGAAGCTCTATATAAAGAAACTATTTGCCGTAAATGTCTAAAAGAACCTAAGATCTTCAAACACCTCATAGTATGTTTAGCAGACCTAAAACTTTGGAGTACTAAAGAAGCTACTATAGTACAAGAGATCTGGAGCTCTTTAGAAAAAGAAGAACAAGATAAAATAGAAAAACTGTACCTGAAAGGAATACTGCTAGGAGCGAACCAAGCAGACACCAAAAAAAGAAAGCTGCTAGCAAGAGGAATACTGACACTAGAATACAAAGCCGCCCTTGAAAGAAGTGATTTTAAGAAAAAAATGATAAATCTTATTCTGCGATCTTGGCTAAACAAATGGATGATACTCTTTCAAGATAAAATATGAAGACAGAGATGCAACAAAATCTGTAAATAGGAAAAAAATATAGGAATAACATCTAAAAAGAAAGAAAAAGACTTTGGATCTAAAAAGAAGCCCAGAAAATCCAAAGAAAAAGAAAAAAGAAGCCTATGAAAACCCCTGAGGAGAGAATCAAAAAGGAGATAGAATGGGAAAAATATATGTGTATAACTATAAAAGAGATAGATAACTGGATTGAGACAGGAAATAGTAGTTGGTAGAACAAAAATAAAAAGATCATGACAGGCCACAGAACCTAGTTGATGAATTATCAAATAAGACAAAAATGTCAAATACGGTAATGAGCCAAATTTTGCTTTGGCAGGTCGCACATAGGTACCTCTGGTAACCGGGTGAGCCATATTTTAATTAAAAGATACCTTGTATTAGAAATAGTATTAGCATTAGCATATGTAACTATTACTCTATTAATAAAATATAACATGATCGCCAAAAAAAAAAAAAATAAAAATATAAAAAATTTAAAAATTTTTTTTATATTTTTTTTATTCAATCAGAATTAGTATATAACATATTCAGATTGGCTAAATAGTATTTATATACCCCAAATTTGATGTATTTAATATGAAGTAAATTGGAGTACTGTATAACAATATTATATAATATTGTGTAAACATTATATAATTTGACCAATCAGAACTTGTAATTCTTTGCACATGCTACCAAAAAAAAATATATAGCATTTAAAAAAATTTTAGTTATATGTGAAGTTAATTTTTTTAAAAGCAATGTATATTGTACAACTTTATTATTATAAACTAACTGTTTTAAACCACATATTATGTAAATTTGATACAAATTGGTTAAGATGTTAAAAAGTTTTATTAGAAGAATTTTTATATTTACTACCGTATTACCGCGAAATAAGACCATTGGCGTTATTTCGAGGTTTGACCCGAATTATGCTTAATTTAGGCCGGAATTCATAATTTCACCCCTGCGCATTATTTCGCGTTAATGTCGTATCTAAAGTTACCATCTATCTGAAGTTGCAACTTTAGATATATGAAGTTGATCTGACTAAGATTAAGCCCCTGAAATTAGATCATCATACATATAATTCTGGTTAGGTGCAACTTTATATATCTAAAGTTGCAACTTCAGATAGATAGTAACTTTAGATAC